CAGGCAAAATGTTTACTCGCGAGTTTCGCCACCTGTTCTTGTTTGACGCCTGCAACAGAAAGCAAGAAGATGGTGGGGATTTGAATGTTTTCATGTTCATTTGTAATCAAAGAAATATAATTTCCTCTTCATATTCCTCTCTAATCAATGAAACATATTTCGCTGCTTCTCTACTGGGAATGAATGTGAACGCACCGAAGTGCTCAAGGCCCCAGATGTTGGTTGCACATTTGCCTCTTCTCTTCGTTTGTTTCTGAACAGTCACGACTTTCTGCAAAAAATAAATACCGCAACAAATGCATATTCCTCTATACGTTGCAGCAGTGAGAGCTGTAGTGTAGTGCTTATCGTTTCTGGGTGACGGGTGTGCGTGTTCTTTCTGCCTCGACAGGTACAGAAAAAGCATCTGAGTGTAGAAGAAACGTTGAGAAATGATATACAGAAACGCATTGAGTTCACAGATATATATTATGATCGAATCCCAGCTTTAGTACTAACTTGTTTATCCGTTTCAGCTACAGCCAGTTCGTTGGTGGCTCACCGGCTTCGCACCATCCTTCTTCCCGGCGCCTCTTTTTGCATCGCTTATTGCGGCTTTCTCTTCTAATTCATTTGAGAGCTGCTCTTCATGTTCCTTTTGCTGCAATGCAGACGCCTGGCTATTTGGGTCTTCTTCTTTCGCATCCCCTTGCTTTGAACAGGCCGCGCCGGAGAACTCGCAGTACTCAAATGGCATACCGCAAGCTAAATTTACACAGATGCGGCCACACAGCGGACACAAACAGCCCCAAACATCCGCATGTAAGTATTTTCATAGCGTTTCCTGGGGCTGATAAAGAGGTGCTCTTGCTCCATGGCTTCTATGCACTTCAGGGGATATTACCATCAAGTTGAACGAGTGAAGGCGAGCAGAGGTTCACGCCTGTTTCTCCTTGCGCTTTGTGGCAGCTTACTCGGGCAGTATTCAACTTTGCACGGACCCGTCATAGGCGGTTGTTGGTCATGGGCCCAGCCGCCAGTGGCGCCCGAGCTCTGCGTGTTCACGTTCGTGGGTAGTTCAGCAGGAGCAGTATCAGAGGGTGTAGTTTCAGTCGCCTGTTCCCGCTGTTTATCTTGTTNGTGGGTAGTTCAGCAGGAGCAGTATCAGAGGGTGTAGTTTCAGTCGCCTGTTCCCGCTGTTTATCTTGTTGCTGCTTCTGCTGCATTAATAGTTTTCTTCTTGCTCGGTTGCTCAACCCAACCTCCTCACCACCGCTTCCACTGTCGTCGCTGTTGTGAACGTCCATTGTCTTAGCGGCAGGATATTCAGACAACGGGGCAAGCTGCCCTGCTAAGAAGACAAAGACGAACTGTCCAATTGCTTTGGAGAGTTCATCACAACTATTATACTTTGGGCTTGTTTAACATGCCCCGGCGTCCGCAGCGGCCGCGACTGTGCATGCTCGTTAGCCGGGATACACGAAAGGCGTGAGAAATCCTATAAATTTGATTCCCTTGGTATTACTACAACCACTATTAACTAATCATTTCTAACTAATCCTTATAAGTAATTTGCAGCTTAATACAATCCAAACTCATACACACAGAACTAACACCCTGGACGCCCCGCCCGCCTCTTGGCTGCCCGTGGTTGTTCAATCGGGAAGAGTTTTGCCGCTCGTTCGTCTTCTGTATTATTCACAACAAAAGAGACGGTTTTATTTTTTCCAAAAAGAANTGTGTTAGCTCTTTAGCAGAGTCTGTTTCTTTCTTCGGTCGCTTTCTGTCACTGAGTTGCTCTTCTGTTTCCACAGGCAACAGCTGCCCACCGAGCCGGTGCTTCGGGCCAGCGGATCTAAAGCTTTCTCAGCGCAGTTTTCATAGATTTGATCGTGTTGCTATTTCGGTGTTTCTCGACAATATAAGCAGCTGATTGAGGCTCTCAGCCTTGAGCGCTTTGCTTCGGAAACCTGAACGACCGGGCACACACCAGCATCAGGTGCTGAGCTGAGGTGGAGGATGCGATGCGTATTTGGTTTGCTTCAACATCTTGATTGCTGAAAAACGACATTTACTCATCTGTGCCTACATTTGATCCAGAAGGAGCACATGTAACCGGCAGAACCCCCGCCTCACAGGGAAACCTACGTGGCTGGCTGGCTGTCGCATAGGCGCTTTAGGAGGTCGAATTCGTCCAGTTGAACTCCAGGCGAAGCTCTTGGCTTCTGCTGCATCTGGTTNGGCGCTTTAGGAGGTCGAATTCGTCCAGTTGAACTCCAGGCGAAGCTCTTGGCTTCTGCTGCATCTGGTTCACCCCTTCAAAGACATTGAGGCAGAGTCAGTTGCTGCTGCTGAGAGAACCGATGCTGCAGCTCGGCTGCTGGAGGGTTCGAACAACGCCCAGAACGCGAGCTACTACAAGGACAAGACGACGCATGCAGACGGCTGAAGGGGCCCCTGTAAAGTGACGTAATTGTGAGACGAAAAATATTTATAAATAACAAATTTGTGATTCAAAAAAACTGTGAAAATGGGCGAGGGGGCGAGCCGCCTCACCTCTCCTGCGCAGTTGAATCCGCAGAAGTTGACGCCAAAACAGATGCATTATCTGCTGAACACCTTCGGTCTTAATGAGGTAAGGCCTTTTAAACGTTCCTTTTTCGAGGCTACACCTATAAAAAGAACAGTAAGCTGAGCTGCGCTGCTTTGTTTCTCAGTTGCTGCGGTATGTATTTATATGTATGATCGTGTACGTACGTGCGTGCGCAGGACGCAGTGTTATGTGGTTGCGTATACACATGAATTCTGTGTGATGTTGCAGCTTTCCCCTTCAAAGGCGCGTATAACACTGCTGGGTTTTGTTCGAGCTTTCCCTGGTGTGCTGCAAGGGCATGCAATGTTGCTGCTGCCGACGCTAAAGGAAATAGCGAGACAGCAGCAGGCGCATCCGCATGCACATGGTCTTTCTTTTGCAATATTAAGTAGCAGCAGTTTAATGAATGATAATGGTGGTGTATCTACAAGTATAGTAGATACAGGTCGATGCGGTAGGGCCAATAAAAAACAAATGGAAGCATTAAAAACAGCTAATAGTATAGGATTACAAGAGATAGTTGATTCTATTTCTTCTTGTTGTTCTGGTGAAGCACCAGAAACAGAAATGCTACTCACAGAAAGAATGCTAGGAAGAATAATGAGAAGCTTTGAGCCCTCCTGTCTCATGACACCTGAAAACGAACACGTACGCCTCGCCCTTGAGTCCGTTGGCGGCCTCTGTATTGACCCCAGATTCGCCAGGTAACCACACACACACACATATATATATATA